TATATAAGAATGCTTTCCAATTAATGTATCAATGATTTATGAATACATAGTTCTCTGGAGTGCTTGCAAATATTTGAAAGCCATAATTACTTACAGAAGGATTCAAGCGGCTAAACTGTTCCCCCTTGGATGAATTTTGTGTACAAATTCCCTTACTGAGCAAACGCCTTCTTTACAAATAATGAAAAGACACACCGTAGCCCAGCCCTGGTGTGTGTTATTACACACACCCAGTTTTGTAGAGTCTGAATTATGTGTGAGACTTTTTATGTCTAGCATCTTGAGGGGGTGTCTCCCCCCATGTTTACCTAAGCATTTGGATTAGAAGGAACCCTAAAATCTCACCATTCTTGTCCTGGTGAGCAAATCCCCAGAGGCTGAACGGTAGTCCCAATAGTAGTAATGACAAGTGGCCTAAGAATTGATTCATTTACGTTTTTAAAATTGCACTAAAATAAAACAATTTCACTTAAGTCTATATGTACTGTATGGTTTAAATCTCTCTTTTAAGGTCTAACTTTGTAATTAAATTACTGTTAAAAAAGTTTTTCTATCCAGGTGGATCTTGATGACCTTAGCCTAAGAGTACTAACGCAAAGAAGGTTATGGCAGCTCGGTTGTCAGTCAGTCATGCAATGGAACAAATAAGAAATTGGTTTGAGAGAAATCTAAAATTTTAGTATGTTTGTCCATTAAGGAGAATAGATGTATTCCTTGAACCGAAAATGTCCTCATTTGTTCAAGAAATTGAGTGGATTTTACAAATACTCTTGCCTTTGACAGTGAGAAAAGGGATAGAGATTATGTCTTATTCATCTTTTTTCCCTAGGACTGCATCTGGCTCATGGCCAATGCTTATAGCTTATTTGATTGATGGGTGAATGAATGAGGAAACAGATGAAATGCTATGGTGTGAGATGGATGCCGAAAGGTTGATAAGAACTTTATCCATCCTTGCAGTGGCCCCTCTCGGGTTGTAGTGGACACTACCAGGTGTCTACCTATTCCATGCCCTTCATCCCTCAAGTAGGGACGGGCTCCTGGGTCATGTTCTCTTTACAGGCCAGGGCTGACTGGACCAGAGTGTGAGCTATTTCCAAGATGCTCTCTCTGGGGACTGAGGTTAAGACAGGCTCGTCAGTCAGCATCTGCTGTGAACTTCAACTAAGGACCTGTACACATGGGCAACTGCCTCCTGCTGAGCCCATGGATAGACAAAGCTCCCCAGGGGGAGCCATTCCGAGAGGAGGGCAGAGAGGAGGGGCTTGCAGGCCATCCTGGAGACATACAGGGGACCTCGCTGGATGCTTCTAGCCTGCCTCCAGGCTACAGCTCTTGCTCTCTGGCCCCTGAGAACTCCTGAATGCTCCCTGTCCCTCATCCTCTTTGCTTAAGCTCATTTGAATGGGTTTCTGTCACTTTTCATTAAAGCAACTTGAAAAAGATGAGGCATTGTGAAATCCCCTTTCCCTTTCTGGATTGAGTTTTTAGGAAAGAGAATATAAATTATGAAGCATGTCAGAGGCATGCAACAAAGTCTCCTCTTTATTGGCAGGAGAAATTTTTCTAAATGCCCAGTTCTAGGAATTGTCCTGCATCTTACTTTCAGATATTTCTGCGGCAGTAGAGCCCTATGACAGAGTGTGCGTCCATTGTCATTTGTGTAAATTGATGGTAGCCAGTATACATAACGTTTTCCAAATTCGAAATGGCAACTGAGGAAGAAAAACTGTCTCAAACAATGTACATGAACTTTTGCAGGCCTAATTTATAACTCCTCCTGGGATATGTTGTAATTAGTATTCTGGAACCACTTGCTGAGAGATATTAAGGAGGTTAGGACATCCTTCTGGGAAGTTATGTGCCTACCTACCCACCTACCTGACTGCCTTTGGAAGAGTCTGAGGTCAACAGGCATTTTTATATTGTGTCATACAAAAATATAATTCCAAAAATTGAAAAGCATGATTCTTATGTACACATAGTACAGCATCTGTCAAGATTTATGAGAGATCCAGCAAGTTTAAAATTATGGAAAATGCTGAGTATCATCAATGGAAGATGGCTGAATTAAAAACACAAAGTCAGATACAAAACTGGTTAATGGTCCTATGTGACCATAAAAACATAACTTCTCCCAGACAGAAGTCATTTCACTTTCACCAGACAGAAATCTGCTAATTAACCTGTAACTTCAGAGTTGGTACCTTAATCAATGGTAATAATTCAACAAAGATGTGTTTCCCTGAAGAATTAAACGATCCTTGAGTGGGCCAGTTATTAAATGATTTTCCCCTCAAAGATTGAAAGGTCACACAAGCTTCATTCTTTCGTATTTCCACATTTTGGAAAATTTTTCTAACAGTCCCCCCTTTTTTTCTATAAATATCTCTAACAGCAGGGATATTTTTGAATTGGCTGGCTCTTCTCTTGTGGAAAATTTGAAATAAAACTCTGACACATGCTCTTTGCAATTTGGCTGAGAATATGCTTTAACAATTCAATATTAAAAATTATTAGCGAGGTCATCCAAGTGCCAGAAAGCAGCTGTTTCTTCGATGGAGTATTGCATTTGGTTTCGATAATCTGAGGCCATACCTGAAGACCTAAACTAAAATATACAATGTAAAGATCCTTTAAATAACAAAGAACTCTTCATGCATTTATACTATTTTTATTTTGCATTATTATTTTTCAAACTTTATTTATTTGTTTGTTCATTTATTTACTTCATCCTCAAAAGAGAACATTTTTTTCCCTCCATTTCTTTTAGAGAGAGAAGAAAGGAGAGAGGAAGGGAGAGAGAAAAACATCAATGTAAGAGAGAAACATCAAATGGTTGCCTCCTGTATGTGCCAGGACTGGGGATCATATGCTCCCGGATCAATAATTGAACTCACAACTTAGGTATGTACCCTGATGGTGAATCGAAACTACAACCTTTTGATTATAGGATGAGGCTCCAACCACAGCTGCCAGAGCTATTTTTTCAAACATTTAAGTAATGCTTTGGTGATATGTATTAAGCCATTGGTAGAAAATATTGTTTTAATAAAAATGTAAATCCTTTTCATGATGGCTTATTATGTTATTAGAACATTGTACCTTGGCAAAAAAATAAATATAGTTTTATTATATATATTTTATGTTAGCACTTCAAAATTATTGTAATTGCACACCCCAAGTTACTTGTTACATTTTACTAGGATTATATTGAAGTCTGTACATTGTTTGTGGGTAATACTTTCTCTATTCTTAGATAGAAATAAGAGCATGGGGAAAAAGTAGATTTACAGTTGAGTACATGAAACACAGTTTATTCTTGCATTGTTTTTTATTAATTATTGTATTATTTTCCATATGAACAAGTATAAATCTACTTTTGCCTCTCTCTGTACTTTGGTAAACCATGATTCTACATAGATAAAGTACAATGGAAAAGTCTTTTCTATTTCTTTTTTAAGCATATATTAAAAAATATTTTATTAGTTTTAGAGAGAAGGGAAGGGAGAAAGAGAGGGAGAAAAACATCAGTGTGAGAAACATCAACGGGTTGCCTCTCCTATGCACCCCGACTAGGAATCAAACCCACAATCCAGGCATGTGCCCTGGCCAGGAATCGAACTGGCAACCTTTCATTCTGTGGGACAATCCGCACCTGAACTGAGCCACACCAATCAGGGCAAGTACATACATTTTTAGCTTAATCCTTTTGTGGTAATTTGACATTTTCTCAGATGGATAAAAAAAGCGTTCATTCTATGTGTTTAACTTTCTAGCTTACAAGATTTTATGTTTGGTGGAAAGTCTAAGTTTTATTTATAAAAGTCTTTGTATTTCTAAAATTTTGCGAATAATCTCACTCCTGTGTTTGTTTTGTTTCAGATTGCTGTTGAGTAACTGCTAACTGTTGAAAGGCCTTGAAAGCAAAGCCGAGGTTTCCTGAGGAAGAAGCAATTCTGCCTGCGGGCTGTGGCTTTAGCTCGTGCCCAGGTGTTTCCAGCCTCATCTTCCTGACAGGCTGCCCTAAGGATTTCGGACCTGCCAGCCCCACAACAGCCGAAGCCAGTTCCTTGAAATAGACACAACTCCCCGAGACACACACACACACACACACACACACACACACACACACACACACACACACACGTGGTATGTATGTATCCTATTGGCTGTGTTTCTCTAGTAGAACTCTGACTACCAAACCTCTGAAACTAGTAAACAAGACCAGAAACTAGCGCTCAGCTCCCTCTTCTCTATGAAAACCCTTCCTTTGAAGAGCTTAACTCTTTAAAATTAGTTCCCCACATCTGAAAAGATTATGTTTACTCTGCTACTTTAAACCTCTCCTTCCTACTTGTGCAATCCCTTTATTTCTAGTCTTCCCAAATTTAATCAAGTACCTTGCACACCCGACAGCCTCCTGTTAATGTTGTTAAGGTGACTTAAGGAATGAAGCAGTATAGAATGTATGCACAAAAAGGTGGGGGAGAAAATGAACGTATTGAAAGCTATTGGCCAGCTCAGAATAGCTCAGAAAGTTGGTCAGCGAGGCTTGGAAAACGGCCAGGAGGCCCTATCAGCAGCAGCCAGGCCAGGAGCAGGTCAGACACCAGCCACAAAACCAGCCTATGTGAGGATGCTGTGGCCTCCAGGACTGACGGCTGGACTCAGCTTAGCAGGCCTTTGCTGCCACGACTGTCTCGGAAACCCAGTGCAGGGTCACTGCTGCCACCCTCTGCCAGAACACATTCTTTGCTGTCCCATGTTCAGGTCCAAGGTGGATGCATTTGACTGGCTACATCTGAGTCATGTGCTGATGCCCTAGCGGTAAAGGGGTCTGGGAGAGTATTTGGTACTTTTTGTTTCTGTTGGAGAAGGAGGGCTCTACTTGGTGGGAAATTGTCCAAATGTAGAAAGGGGATTTAGATGAGGGTTAGTCCAAGAAGACAAAGGTCCACTACAGTGCCTTCTGGTGCCACCCCTCTGTGGAAGCCAGCATGACGGTAGCAGCCTGGGTGCCGTGGAGCAGTCATGCTGGAACACCTGCTGATACCAGTGGGGAAACAGAGGGGTGAGACCAGGAGGAGCAGGCAGAGCAGTCAGGTGGCTGGAGGGCCCTAAAGATGGTGCACTTGGGCCTTGTGGGACCTGGAGACCAGAGGGAGAAAGGGCACCTGCCCAGCGAGGCCTGGTCTGCACCCACAGATGCTTAAAGGAGCACCTCTGAATGACGCCTGTGGTGAGGAGCCATGCCCACACCCCTCTTCATTACCGTTGGACGAAAGCGTCCCAAGGCTGGCTGGCTGCCAGGCGTCCATTCAGCGTCCAGCAGGACTGACACCCACCTGGGCCTGAAGGCTTTGTTCAATTCGTCTCACCGACATGGGGTCGATGTCCCTGTTCAGCATCCAAGGGCACTTGTAAGCCCTCTTATCCTCTTCCTCCAAAACAGGGAGTGGAATTCTGGGCACCCAGGGAGACGGTGGGAGTCATGGAGTGGAAGAAGTGTCACCCACCCAGCCTCTGCACTTGGGTGCCTCTGAACAAAGCCAGCTAGATATTTTATCCATGGATTGATTGACCCCTGCCACCCACCTCCCTCCAGGTTGGGATGGTTTTGAGTTACTCTACTTTGTGACTGTCCAATTTATAAATCGTGTGTTTGTATAAAATAAAAGTAACCTACAAAAACCCTAGTGGCTGGCAGTTTCCATATTATTTAACAATGTTTTCAGTTGTGGGGAACAGAAAACACAACCTACACAGCTTTATATGAATAGGGGTTCAATTTTCCATATAACAAATGGGTCTGGAGTGGCAGTTGCTATTGTTGGTTCAGAGACTCAAAGATATTAAAGCTATCATTTTTGTAAGTCAAAGGGCTTTTCCCTCATGGTCATTACAATGAACCAAATATTTGTGTTCCCCCTAAATTTATACATTGAAATCCCAATCTCAGTGTGGCAGTATTAGAAGGCGGGAGCTTTGGGACATGATTAGGTCATGAGGGTGGAGTCTGTATAAATGGGATTAGTGCCCTTAGAAGAAGAGACCAGAAAGCTCAGTAGGTCTCTTTCCTCTGTGAAGATGTAAGGGGAAGTTGGCAGCCTGTAATGTGGAACAGAGCTCTCACCACAGAGAGATTATGCTGGCACCTCATCTTGGACTTCCAGCCTCTAGAATTGTGACAAAAATTTTTCTGTGGTTTATAAGCCCTGTAGCCTATGGCACTTTGCTGTAACAGCCTGAATGTACTAGGATAGTCATATTATGGCTGTTTTATAATGTTTCCAGAGCTGCAAAAACTCCAGGCATCATGGTCTCATTCCAGAAAGTATGAAGGGGAGAGCTGAATCTATCTTTTATGAGGAAAGTAAATTCATTCCCCAGAGCCCTTGTAGACTGCCCTTTGTGTTTCACGAGCTACAGCCATGTCATATAACTTCAAGGGGGCCTGGGAAATATTTACTGTTTCCTGCATGTATGTGAGGAGCAGGCATAGAAGAATGAAATTGAAATGTGGGTGGGTTAGCCAACAACAGTGACTTCTTCCATTGCCAAGTTTTATAATTTGAATTAATATTGATTTGTGAACTGATCATTCCTTCACTGTCTATCGATGCTTGCCAGCCCACAATTTATGACAGGCAACAGAAGTCATGCCCCCTCAACTTATGGGAGTAAAACAGTTAATAAAATTTTATTGAGCTACTTATAATATATATATTTTTTGGTAAAATTAAAAAAGCATTGTGATTTTGAAAATCAGACCTGGAAAATGAATATGTGATTTTTTAAGTCTTAAAATATATTATACAAAACAGTCCAAAAAAAAAAAAAAAACGACTTGGGTTCTAGTCCTGTCTCTGTCAATAAATAGTGGCCTCTTGAGAGCTGGTCTTTGTTTCTTTTTCCATAAAATGATAACCTTTTTTATAAAATGAAATCATAGTCTTAATTGGTTGTTATCAGATCTGAAATCTTATGATTCTATGTAATTAGTCTTGATGTCTTTGATTGTATATGGGTGGACAATAAACAAATCACCATTGTTTCTTAACAATGGTCTTCTTAAATTCAAGAGCTATTTTTTGAGTTCCCACTGTATGTGGGGCAACCAACCCACAAGAAATGAATTGCATGTTAAAATAACAATTTTTAAAAAAAGATTTTATTTACTTATTTTTAGAGAGGGAAAATGAGGGGAAGAGAGAGAAACATCAATGTGTGGTTGCATGTCCCATGCCCCCTGCTGGGGATCTGGCCTGCAACCTACACATGTGCCCTACACTGGGAATTGAACCGGCAGCCCTTTGGTTTGCAAGCTGGCACTCAATCCACTGAGCCACACCAACTAGGGCTAAAGTAGCAATTTTAAGTGGGGGCTTTAGTTGGAGGTTTACTTTAAAATTTTTAGGAAAAGAAAAAAATGGCATTATTTTCCCAAAGCAGGTTAGCCCGATTCCTTCAAAGGCGGGATTATTTCCAGCCACAGTCAGAGCAGGCGGGATCTAAGGGACAATGTGTGGGCTCCTCCAGCTCCAGCATCCTCCTGGTCAACCTGCTATCTCAGTCGAGGTTCCTAAAACTGAGCTGGCTCCATCTCCAGAAAGTCAAGTTTAAGAGTACAGCTGAGGGTGGGGCTGGAGAGCTGGGTGAGACAGCTATCTGCCCAACACCCACTAACTGCTGGAATTCATCTAGAATGTTAGTCAGGAAGCCAGAAGGGGGTCCTCTGAGATTGACACCTATGGTGAGGAAGTTGCAGACTGAGGCAGCTTGGGAAGGAACCCCGGCCGGACCCGAGCAAGTCTGCTCTAGCTTGGGGATCCTGAACAATGGGCACCCCAAGTCTTCTGAGAACAAAGAAGAATTTTTGGCAGGAAGAGAAGACCAAAGACAAAAATGTCCAGTTCACAGTTTTGCCTAAGATGACAGAGACCAGGGAACTACAGGGGACTGTACTGGCTGTTTGGCTCTGACTTGCTTTCTGAAATCAGCCGGCTCTGTGTTGGTGGGCCATCACCTCTGCAGGTGCCCTTCCCTCCTCCCTCCCTCTTGTCTTCTGTATCTTCTGTCATCTCAATATAGTCTAGGGTTTAGTCACCAGGTGGAGACAAAATGTCAGGGGTCACACGTTCTTTCTATTCTTCTGGTTATGGGGCCTTGGGCAAGCCACTTCCTCTCTCTCTGTGTCTCCTCTCTAATATGGGGGCAATGCCAAGTTCAGAGGGTGTTTTAAGATAAAATAAATTAATACACAATAACGATCTAGAAAAGTGTCAGCTCTCATTTCTATTTCTTAGACTTAGCCACTATGGACACCCTTTCTCTCTGGGGTTTGTCATCTCTGGCCAAGGCAAGTTTTCACCTCTATTAAAATATAACTCTTTTCTTGAGGACCTGGTTCTAAACTCTTCTACAGTAAATATTAGGGTGTACAGTTGACCATGACAATATGCTAATAAGAGAGGCAGGATGCTGCTGCTGCGCAGTCCCCGAGAGAGCTTGGCAGGGAGAACGGAACTGTCCTGAGTCCGGGGGCAGCATCCTCTTTAGGCTAACATGCAGGGCATCACACGGCAAAGATGCCCCCGGGAGATGAAGTTACACAAGTGCCTGCAAAGTCAGATAGTTAAAATGTCATTCCTCTCCGCTAAGTTTTGCTGTGAACCTAAAACTGCTCTAAAAATAGTTTCTTCATTAATATTAAAAAAAGAGAACAAAAAGTCATTTCTGATTTTCTTAGTTTCTGAAGAGTGTTTAGAGTTTATACTGATTAAGGATTTTTTTTTCCTTGTAAGAATTTGAGCACTTATCAAGAGTTAACCTGCTGTTGAATAGCCGTTATGAGCAGATGTGATGCTCTCTTTTCTGTGGGAATTTGCAGCTGGTCTTCCTCGGGTCTGTCGTCTAGTAGGCCTCAGCTGCTCAATGCCGTAATCACCAGGCACTCTGGCTACCGGGCACTAAAATGTGGCCAGTTTGAATCGAAATGTTCTGTTAGTGTTAAATACATGAAAGAATTTGAAGACTACGTATGATAAAAGAATGTAAACTATCCCATGAATAATTTTTACATTGATAATATATTGAAATAATATTTTGGACTTATTGGGTTAAATAAAACTATTAAAATTAATTTCACCTGTTTATTGTTACTGTTTAAAATGTGGCTCCTAAAAAATATAAACTAACATGTAGCACACGTTACATTTCTAATGGCCAGTCCTACAGAGGGGAGAGCCGGCAGATACGAAATATGTGTATTCTTCTTTGGAAAGTCTTAAGGCTGAGTTCCTGGGAACCTCAGACATGCCAGTGCAGCTATTGTTTTGACAAGGAGACAGTATTTAGGAGAATGCCTAGGTTAAAACTCAAGGTTAAGCATTTCTATTGAGTTCTGAGCTGACATGGAAGCAATGAGAGGAACCCAAGGACTAATCAAGACTGTGGGGAGATGTGTGAATTACAGTTGAAATATTCGAAATCCCATTTGATTTTTTTTCTCCTCGAGCTAGAAAAGCCTAAAATTCCGCTCTCAAACAGGGTCCACGTTAGTGGGCTTGGCTGATGCTAGAAGTAACTTTCTGCTGAGAACTCACAGAAACCTGATGGAAAAGTCAGGAAACAGCGTCTGTGCTCGGGTCCGAAAGTTGCGCTCTCTGGACCGGCCCCCAGGGGGCCGCGGTCAAAGTGATTGGGGTGCGCGGACTCGGGGAGGCGCTGGAGCGGCGAGAGCCGGCGAAGGCAGCAGGGTCCAGGCGGAGCATTGCTGTCGCCAAGGCAACCGCGCAAGCTGCAAACAGCCGCGCGAGCTGGCCGACGTGCGGCCAGAGCGGACGCCTGGGAACAGCGTGGGCAGAGGCCCCGGACAGCCGCGGGGCCAAGTGTCCGCCGGCCGCGACCAGCTGCGTGCCTCCGGGAAGCGCCGGAGCGCAGCGTCATGGACAAGTCGGTACGGTGCGCGCTCGGTCTCAGCAGCTCCCACGCCCTGCCTGTCCCCGCCGCGCTTGCGCCGCCGCCGGCCTGCCCCGCGCTCGGTGGGCTCCATACGGTGGTCTAGGATGGGACGGGCTTCTCATCTGGGATTCAGCTTCAGGGCGCGGGGGCGTCTGAAAACGCTATCAGGACCTTGTAGGGCTTGAGATGCTGGTTTTTGAGTTTTGCAGGTTTTTCTCAGGGATGGTGGCCAGTCATGTCCCCCCGCACCCACAAAAAAATGCAGAAGTGATAGGGTCAGGGACTACCTCGCCCCTTTTTCTTCAATTTACGGTTTTTCCTTTCCTCTGGCTGTGGAAAGGCCTCTGGTGGTCAGGACGTGGACCCTAGCGACCTATTGTCCTATAGGGAGCATCAGAGAGATCTAGGTGGGGCACAGGCTACTTTGGTGCCAAGTTTGTTGGCTGTTTCTAGCTCTCGTTAGCCCTTGGGTTTGGATAAAAGCAAATGTTTAGTTCCCTTGGAGAGAGGGAGAGGGATGGTGTGTAGAGAAAGCCCCGTAGGTTGTTTCCTTATGTATTTTATATTTGCCTCCATGAACAACAGGTGAGAAACGACTGGAAGCTACTCAGAGCCTTGGAATCAGCTTTCACTTCCTTTGGTTTTGCTCTCTTTCATTCTCTTTTTAAAAATGAATACTGTGGAGTGAAAAAATATTCAGGTATTTCTTTTAGCATTTACCCTCAAGGGACATTGTATAGTACATTTTTTCACTTGGCTACACTATCTATAGCTATATAATTATAGCTATAGTGGTTATAGTAATCAATAAAATATGCACCCTGTCATGACATAACAAAATTAAATTTGTATTTCATTAAGAACAATATATATAGTTTATGTGAGTAATACTTCAACATTTTCCTCCTCTCTGTAGTTATCTTGCTCAAAATTTACTGTTTTATTCTTGTGAACATCTTGTTATGGTAGACACATTAATGTTTTTATTATCATATAACTTATGTCATAAGTACTTGGAATTTCCGACATATCTATTTTATGCTGCATTAAGATAATTTTCATTAGTTCTTTTTAGTGACTTCTCCCTATTTTATGTTGACGATAATGGTGATCCTGAGATGACAGTGGAATTGCTACTTCTAATACCAGTAAACCAATGACTATTTTGTGGCTTAATTTGAAATCCACATATTACATAATTCTACATAAATTTATCAAGTTTCCCATGGTAAGGGTATAAAACATGGCTAATACCTTTATACCATATTCTTAGGTTTGATGAATTATGCTTGCTTAAAGATTTCAATGCTGCCCTCTTTTCCTCTATTTTTCCCTTGGTCTGTACAGGTTGAAGTTAAAGAATTTAAAATGATCAAATGTCTCCTGTTTAACTTTAGTAGTAATGTAGGAAATTTAGTTGCTATATCTCTTTTCACCTACTGAATTTGCAAAAAAAACAAAACAAAACAAAACAAAGTTACCGAGGACTATTTAATAACACCCTGACTGGTGTGGCTCAGTTGTTTGGGTGTCATCCTGCAAACTGAAAGGTCACTGGTTCAATACCGGTTCAGAGCACATGCCCAGGTTGCGGGACAGGTCCCCTGTTGGGGGCGTGCAAGAGGCAACCAAATGATGTTTCTCTTACACATCGATGTTTCTCTTCCTCTTTTTCTCCCTTCCTTCCCCTTTCTCTAAAAAATATTTTTTAAAAAAGACTGGTAACATGGGAAAATGTTCACAATTCATACATGAAAACAGTAATCCACTAAGGTAGTATTGTTTCAGTTATATAAGTGCAGAAAAGGTATATAAGTATGTATAGAAAACAGAATAAATAAAAGGACATACACCAAAATATTGATAACTGATTATCTATGGCTGGATGCATTAAAGAAGATTTTACTTTTTTTGTTGTTTTCTTCATTTAAAGATTTTTCATAATGAATATACATATGATAAATATATAAGCATATATGTAGTTAAATGTAAATTATATATATTTTATATATATTTTATTGATTATGCTATTACAGTTGCCCCATATTTTTCTCCCCTTTATTCCCCTCCACTGTGTACCCCCCTCCCACCAGCATCCCCCCCAACTTAGTTCATGTCCATGGGTTGTACATACAAGTTCTTTCGCTTCTCCATTTCCTATACCATTCTTAACCTTCCCCTGTCCATTTTGTACCTACTATTTATGTTTCTTATTCCCTGTACCTTTCCCCCATTCTTTCCTGTCTCCTACCCCTCTGATCTCTATTTCTGTTCCAGTTGTTTGCTTAAGCGAAAATTATTTATTTAAAGAAAACCACAAATATATTAATCATAAATTATATACATATAAGTATAAATTTTATAGTTAGAAAAAAGTATAAAGGATAATACCCCCTAAATGTTTACACAGCTTTCTTCTCCTGAGACAAACCGCATCCGTTGGTAAATGTTTTCTGGTTTTTGTGGACCAGGTCACATCCTTGTAAACACTATTGTACAGTTCATGTGTCTCCCCAGTTGGTGAGCAGCGATATTTTACATAAATTGGAAACAGAAGATGGTAAGTGAGCATGCCCAGATCAGGGTGAAGAGAAGCAAGGATGAAACAAAGTGTAGCTCAGGACTGCTTCCCGCACTGCATCATTTTCTGAAACCTCACAAATGGTAGTTGGTGAGGCTGAGCTGGAAAGGATTTTAGCAGCCATAACAACTTACCATCAGTCCTGCAAATGTGGATTTCGGTCATTATATTATTTAGGGAAAACAGAAACTAATACTGAAGGACACACGATTGTTGCATCTGTGAGCTATGATCTATGCACAAATTTAAATTCCCCAGGGAAGTCCGAGGACCCTGTTTTCTCCCTAAGTTTGAGGCTAGTGTCTGCATTAGAAAAAGGCTGCTCTGAGAAGGGGTATTTCGATATTTCGAGGAATTGGTCTCAGCTGCACAGGAAACATTAGGCGAAAGTTTACCTGTTAACATTTTCTCCTTTAGTCATGCTAAGCTCTTTCCTGGCACTGAGCACAGTGGCTGTTTATTTATACCTCCCTGCTGTTTGCTTTTGGCTTTACTTTTTGTAGCCTTGCTTTTAACAAACAGACCAAGAAGAAGAGGGTGTAACAGCTGCTCACACATTACTTAATTTATGAATAAAAACCAGTAGCTTCAACTCAACAGTAAACCTGGGACATTTTGAGTCCATTTGAGGAAATCTGTCATTGTACCTACCCCTCGATGGGGTAATAGAATTATGATCAGATTCCCATGGGTCAACATTTCTGCCTTTGGGGAGGTAATATGAAGGTTCAGAACGTCTTTCTTTTTGGAAGCAGCCTCCAGGTTGGGCCAGCAGGGCTTGGCTGTGGATGTGGGAAGAGCCCTCTGTGCTCACCGCCATGGGAGTGGTTGCGGACGTCCTTGGAATGCTTGGACACTGGGGAAGATAAAAGATCTTGCTCTTGGAGGTCTGTACAGTGTGTAGGTCACTTTTCAATCTTATGTAGCCTAATTGGGATAAAGAGTAAGAGAGTTTGTGAGGCCTCAGTGTCCTGAAGTGTCCTTGCCGTTGTTCATTACAATAAATAAAGCAAGGCAGAGCTCAGAGGGAGCATTCCTTGTTGCCTCTGACAGTGTTCCCCAAAAGAGGGTCAGCTGAGTGTCAGGGGCTGTGTTGGGGGCTCAGGAGACATCAGGGAACAAACAGAGAAGAGTCCTTGCTCATGTGTAGAGATGACTGCCCAGCGGGGAAGACAGTTATGGATAGGGCATGGAAGGGGCCAGGAGAGGCGAGTGAGGTCAGAGGAGGGCAGAGCTCTCTAGCTAGAAGAGGACATCCTGTGTGGACCAGAGTCCATGGCCAACGTGGGAAGGGGGCCAGTGTGGAAGGAGGCAGGAGGTGGTGCTGTAGTGGTGGCTGAGGACCAGATAGGGCCCTGAGGATTTTTAGAGGATAAAAAAGACCTGGAAGCTCACAGCACTTATGATTTAGTAAAGAAGACATCTGTATCTCCAACAAGGCAGGTTTGATAAGTATCACAGCAGAAGTGCTTATTATGTGTTATGAGCTGAATTGTGTCCTCCCAAAATTAATATGATGAAGTCCTAACCCCTAGTACCTTGGAATATGACTCTATCTGGAGAAGAAGCTTTACAAGGGTAATTAAGGTCAAATGATGTCAAACATGTTCCAGGGGTGTTCAACCTGCGGCCTGTGGGCCCTGTGTGGCTCAGGAAGGCTATGAATGGGACCCAACACAAAATCGTAAATTTACTTAAAACATTATGAGATTATTTTTGTGATTACATGTTGCAATGTATTTAATGTGTGGCCCAAGACAACTCTTTTTCCAGTGTGGCCCACAGATGCCAAAAGGTTGGACACCCCTGCATCCAATATGATTGGCATCCTTATCACAAGAAGAGGTTAGGACACAGATACGCAGAGACCAAGGGACGACCATGTGAGGCAGTGGACATCTGCAAGCTAAGGAGAGATGCCTCAGAAGAAGCCAAACTTAATGATTTCTTGATCTTGGATGTCTGGAACTGTGAGAAAACCCATTTCTGTTAAGCCACCCAATTTGTGGTATTTTGTTATGGTGGCCCAAGCAAACTAATACAGTGCACGTATGCTAAACAGTTCACACAGATTATCTCAGCTCATGCCTGTTATTGCCTAGAGGGAGGGCGCTGGCGTGATTGCTATCTTACAAACAGGGAAACTGAAGCTGAGAGACAACCATCGCCTTGGGAAGACAAGCATGCCACACACTGGAAAATCCTAAGTAAGTTAAAATGAAAAACAACTCAGGACAAAATGCCTGTGATTGTCACGGCATGAGCAGCACGGGAAATCAGTGTGGGGCAAACCTCAAATTGGCCTCCCAAGTGGAGTCCTGTCTGATGACAAGCTTGCTCCTACCTGCCCGTATCGATCCAGGTTCGCTGCCACTCAGGCGTGATGGACAGATGCTGCTGAAGGGGGTTTGTGGCTGTGGACCAGTGCGGCTGTCCCAAGTGAACATAAGGAAGTGAACAGCTAGCCACACAGGTCGAAGAATGTTATAGACAAATGTG